AGCACTATACGCAGGGCTACGAAATCCCCTCGTTTGCCGCCATCTTGAATAAGTTATCGTGACGTCACAAGGCGTCACAGTTTTCACGATAACTGAATACAACCGAACTCGGCCAGATTTCAACTCGGCCAAGACAAAAATGCACAACTCGGCCAGTTGTGAATGTCGAGGTGTAAACTGGCCATTGGTCAACAATTGTCACCTTCTTTCACGTTTGTTGCCGTGGCGGCATTTTATTTCCAGATGTTATATCACAGTCCCTGTGGTTATATGTTACACAACACACCCAGTGACGCATCCGTTTCACTGACTGTTTTTGACTAACTCCCGTGACTGTTTTGTTGTCGATTTCAACAACGCAAGTTTACATACACACACAAATGCTACTGGTTCTCCGGCATGTTCAAGTTGTTGATTTCAACATTGGCTGAACATTGTCGATTTCAGTGACGCAAATTTTCTTTTCAAAGAAAAAACACAGACATTACATCGGAATCACAGACATCACATCGGCGACCGTCTGGCTACGCTGTGTAACAACACAACACACAAAAAAAGAAACGCTCCTGTTTCCCCGACTGTTTTCAAAGAAAAAGCTCTGCTATGTAAAAACACTAAAACTAATGTTTCAATTTGTAGCAGTTTTGTATGGCGCAACATTTTATTGTGTGATCCTTAATGCATTTTATTTTTCAGATCCATTACAAAATATTGTGAAGATTTATGAGTTGCATTTAATAAATCACTTCTGTTATAGATAAACTCTATGTTACGATAAAATAAACTACTAGTATGTATAATAATGGACTATGCTTGAGTACGATTCACATGCGTCTTGACTCGTGTCACCGTGATAATAAACCATTTGACAAGACTACAAGTGTGATTCACAATCGGTCCTAACCTATGGTGTGTTTAAATGAATTAATGCAGCAGTGTTTTAGATTGATTCACGGGTGGCTTTGTAGTGGGTAGTTGTTTATTAAACAAGATTTATGCAAGATTTACTCACCAAAAGTTGTTACTGTTGTTACTGTTACACTTGTTACTGTGCTTGGCAAACAGCAAAAGGCTACATTGCCTCATGCGCGGTTATTACATCATCTATACCATTTTTCTCACCCAGTGTGATTACACTCACACATATATATTGTCTGTAGCTGGGGGAGCAGTATATATGAATGCAAATAAAAATAATAAGAACATTATAACGGTTAATCGCTGGAAAAAAACCATGGATGTAATAAGATACCTCCAAGGAATAACAAAAACATTTTGGCAAAGCGTCCCGGTTTTATTGGAACGTTCACAGCCATGGCTGCGCCCTCTAGCGGCTGATAGCCATAAGCAGAATTCTTTGCCAAATTCTGCTAGGAATAAAAACACCTTTACACGACTTGTTACTTTCAACAAAATAATTCTATTTGGGAAAAGTACAGACCAATTTGAACACTGCAATTGGGCTAATCTGCACTGGCTCGGAAGGTTGTAAATGATTAGCTAGTTTGAATTTGCATAACAATACTGACAATGAACGTGCATTCAACGCCACAAGTTTTTTTGTTTTTTTAGCCAATCAGAATTCATCTTCCGAGCCAGTGCAGATCAGCCGCTGCAATTGGTAAATAAATGCAAATACACCGTTCTGTAAGATACGAGTTATTGGTAAATAAATGCAAATACATCGTTCTTGTAAGATACGAGTTATTGGTAAATAAATGTAAATACGCCGTTCTTGTAAGATACGAGTTATTGGTAAATAAATGCAAATACACCATTCTTGGAAGATTCGAGTTATTGGTAAGTAAGTGCAATTACGCCGCGCTTATAAGGTACAAGTTGTTGTACATAGGGGAAATTCTATTTTAGTTGTTGAAAGTCACGGGACAACCTGGCAATATCATGAGTGCGTTTGTGCGTATCTTGAGAGATCGACGCAACCCATAAAATATAAACCAGCAGTAATAAGTTGTGTGTTTCAATAAAAGAATGAACATATTTGGCATAAAAATCACAACGGAAATACTGTTGATAACTACACGTGGTCACACCTTTGACCGACTTGTTAAAAAAGAGCTCCCCTGTTGTACGCCACCAGTCATATTAAAACAAAGGAAAGCTTCTAACATTAATCGCGCCTCGCACGAGGTGTTTATTCATCCATGGAAGGTACTTCCATGATTCATCCATGTCTTTCGATTACAAGTTAGTATGCCCACGCTTGTAGCTATGACGTATTTTACGCACCGATTACGTGAACTCCAATGTTTTTGTGACCATAAAGTTGAAAAAAAAACATGACACAAATTGATAATATACATGGAAATATGAAAACAGTTATTTCGAATAACGATTGCGCCACATTTAAAAAATAAATTAAAAAACATAATGAGAATTAAAAAACGATTTTGCTTTAGAAACCTACCTTGTTACCCTGCAACATATTGAGATGCGCGAAAATCTAACTAAATTCCACCTCAGTGACCATAACTTGAAAATTGAGACACAAAGAAACACCT